TCATCCCAGTCACAGGCCTCATCGTGAGGAGCTTCACAACTGACCTTAAAAGTGTAGGCTCTGACTGGTGGTGCACTCCTGCCTTTAATCCCAGCACTTTAGGAGGCAGAGGCAGGTAGATCCCCTTGAGTGTGAGGCCAGCCTGGTCTACATAGCAAGTTCCAGGACAGTCAGGGCTGTTATACAGAGAAACCCTGTTTTAAACAAGCAAATGAACTATATATATGGGGATCTGACCAGCTTCTTTCAGAAGTGTCAGCAAAAATTACTGAGAAATGCAACAAGAGCCAATTTACAATATAATGTCTATGTGCCTCGTACTGATGTACAGCTTATTTCTCGAAGCCTTGATCCACTGAATCTTCACAACCCAGAAATGCTATTTCTGCTTGACACTCGTAGAAAGTGACACTTGAGGAAGTGATGGTCTCAATAGCTCACAGGTGGGCAGAGATAGCCCCTAAATTCTAAGTTCAGTCCTGATCTCTCTTCTCCTCCTGTCTTCCTTCCTTTTGTTTGTTTGTTTGCTTTTGTTTTTTCCAGACAGGGTTTTTCTGTTATCCCTGGCTGTCCTGGGACTAGCTCTGTAGACCAGGCTGGGCTTGAATTCCTGATCCTCCTGCCTCTGCCTCTTTATGTACCGGGATTAGAGATATATACCAGTGTGCCCATCACATTGAACATCTTACAGTGATGCTGTGACTTCAAGCCCGCACACAGAACTGCCATGTCTTAGATATGCCATAAACACTTCATATATATTCCTGAGATCCTACAAGGGGAGAGCTTCGTTCTATGTATTGCAGTGCAAACTAGACACAGTCTCTGCCCTCATGGAACTTACACACTAGGAGGGAGACATCAGACAGAATCACAAATAAATGTGACGACACACACAGTGCTTAGGAGAGGCAGTTACCGCAGAGAGAGCTCATAACAAGAAACATTTAAGATGCAGGCATCCTGGAAGGCTTCCCAGAAGAGGTAATACTTGAATGGAGATTTTTTTTCCCTGAAGAATGCTGGACAGTCTGAGGGGAGCTTGAGAAAGAATATTCCAAGCAAAGGAAAAAGAGCAATCTCAAAAGCCCTAAGATGGCAAGGAGAACACACATTTTTGGTAGTAGATTTTTATTAATTGTAAGGTCATCTGTTCTTGATGTGGAGGAATGAAACAAATCAGATGAAGGGGAAACAAAATAACATGCTGAGTCTAACAAGTATTTACAACAGTTACTAGATTTCAGGAAACACAATTGATTATTAGACAAACATTTCTCAGAGGAATCCTGCCTGCTGAGAAGGGGCGAAGCTCAGAAAGTTGGAAAGAAACTAGATCACTCAAAAACTTTGGAGTAGTGAGGAGTTCCCCCCCCCCAAAAGCTCTCCACTGGAAGCCACCAGAAAGTTATTTTAGAAAGGAAATGCCATAATAGGATTTATGCGCATACGCTAGGGAGCAGAGTGGAAGCCCTAGGTGGGAGGCCATGCATGAGTGGTGGGATGGATGGAGATGGCGGCGATGGGAATACACAACACATTCCATTCCGTTGTTACCTGCTGCTCACCTAGACTCTTATCCCCCAACCAGGATCCCACTCCTGGGCTGGCTCCCTGCCCCTCCCAAGAGGGCAGCAACAGCCGCCAGAGCACCTGTGGTCACAGATCTTGGGGTACCTCGGTGGCCCCTGCGCCTTGCAATCCAAGGCTGTTAGGCATGACTCCAAAGGAGGTCTTTTTCTCCCGTGAGTGAGTCTGAAGAATGATGAGCCACTCACTAATCTGCTTCTGCCCCAGCTTTCTTCCCAGGGTACCTGGCAGGGGGTTGCTCTGGTGTGCTCCTCCTGCCTCTGTTAACTGCAGCCTCAGCTGGGAGAAAAGCTAAGGGATTACTGCTCCCGGGGCTCCCTGCGCCCCTCCTGTCCCCCGAAACAGCTGCAGGAAAGGCTTGAACGTTCTTTCCCAAAGAGGCACGTTTCCGTATTCACGTTGGGGAAGGCATGTGTTTTAAAGCTGTCTTTTCTGCTGATAACAAATACAGTCATGTTAGAGAGAAATGGAAATTATAAGGAAGACTTACCACTATTCATACTACTACCCCGGACTTTTGCATGTTCCCCTGTCATATATACTTATTTCTGAATAGTCAAGGTCACGCATGCTAAATAAGAGTTTTGGCATCTGTTCTCTTCACTTGGTAAGATGGTTTCCTGTGTTATTAAATTCACCCCATAAATGATCCTGATAACTATACTGCAGCCATTTTTTAAAAATCGCGTTTTATTTACTCTTCCCTGTTTCCTGGACACTTAACGGTGGTTATAACATCTAAGCAGTATAAAAGCAGTTATGACCGACAAGGCTGTTTATTAATCTTTGCCTGCACTTTGAATGCCCAGCCGAACCCCTGAGGACTTCTAGGTGGGGAATTAATAAGGGAAATTATATAGTCACAGGACAAGAAAGCAAATCTCTAGCAGGACAATTTCCAACAAAAGAAGCTGTGGTCCCGGCAGGGAAACTAGAAGACTTTGGACTCATGTGTTTTCTCTCTGTAAGGACCTGACTCCTTTGAAAGTACCATTGCCCAAGCAGTGCCTACTAAGCGTCTCCATGTGAGGATTTACCTCTGGTCTCCAGAGAGCTTGCTGGGGTTTTGGCTGCAGATGCGGCTGGGGCTGGGAGTTCCTTGGCTTCTAGCTTCCTTTTGTGGTAGACAGGCAGAGCACGGAGAACCCTACCCGGGGGTCTGAGAATCTGCTTCCACAGGGCTGAATATGGAACCAACTAGGCAACCTCGAGGACTGCCATTTCCCCTGTTGGTGACAAAACTACCCAGCAGGGATTGGAGTCTTGGAAGATCTTGAGTTTGTTGCTGTCTTAGCAGCTCACTTTAAATTAAGCCTTCGCAGTGTCTCAACTCTATAAAAACAGATTAAGGAGCAGTTAGCCCGGTAGAGCAGTGTAAGGGAGGACAGCGTCTGGTGGGAAGATTCTGGGTAGAGACTGGAAGCTATTCCAGTTCAGTCTGGTTCTCTTCCCTACTGCTGAAGTTTAAAAACATTATCTTTCATCTGGATTTAAATCCTCCAAATGTGCTGATGGATGAAATCTTTTCTCTTCTTAAAGGCAATTTGGAAATCAGACAAAGTGGAGCACAAAGCGGTGGATACTTAGAGAGTGAGCGGTACGTGCGGGGCTGAAAGGATGACCCTGGCACTTCTAAGAAGGTAGCAGCACAATGAGCTCTTCCAAAGGAGCGATGTCAGAGTTTATTCCCCCTCGGCCACCGCCCCCTCAGTGGGGGGCATTGCTTGTTTGTACCCCACCCTTTCCTGGAATCATTTCAGACCAAGATCTAGAGTAACCTTAGGCAGATGTTTTCGCTAAGGCCCCAAACAGAAAGATTGGACAGGGTGGTAGGTCTGCTAAGTTCCCCCATTGGGACTTTGGAGGTGGGGGAGGCTCGCCCACCAAGTAGCCCGCAGCTTTGCTCCAATCGCTGCAGTAAAGGGTAGAAGCTCCCACCGGTCAAGAGGGGCGTGAGGCCTGTGACTCTCGGGTGAAGAGAGGAGGTAAGAGGCCCAGCCTGAACGCAGCAGGCTCAGGAAGAGCCCTGCGAGGAGAGCAATGGGACTGCATCTGTAAATCAGCGCTGGCCCCCTCCCACCCCATGCTGGACAGTGGGGGATGGGGTGCGGGGGGTGGGGAGGACTGTGCAAACGTCTTCAGGGGAGGGTTGGTGCTGCCTTCCCAGGGAGACCCGACCTTTCTTGGAGAGGCGGGGTGGCTTTCGTCTCCAGGATCTGCAGTGATGTGTAAAACGCGGGCACGACCCCCGAAGCCTCAGGAACCCCCGCCCCTCCCCCTGAGGCCCGCCCAGACCCGCAGGTGAATGGCTGGTCCACACAAAGGAAGCCGGCTGGAAACGTGGAATTCGGACCAATTTACAGAGGACTCTGTCGCCTAGGGTCCCAACAGACCGCAAGCAAAGAAACCTGTGGTCAGGAGTGGATGAGGATAAAAACAGTGCACCAGGCCAAGCTTATTGGAAAAGCCGAGTTTAGTTATTCTGGGATAGCGAGGTAACAGGATTAAAGGGATTAAGGAAATCACCTCAAACAGCTGAGGAGGGGGCGAAAATACACGGGTTCTATTTGTTTGCTTCCTAGGCCCCAAACAGATACACTGGGGCTCCAAGCGAAAGGAAGGACCCTTGGGGGAGTGCAATGGAATGGCCAGTGGTTATGGGCTGAAGCAAAGTAGGGGAAAGTGAATAAAAAGGAACTCTGGGCTCAGGATGAGGGAGTCTTTCTGGAACACAAGCACACTGCTTTGGCAAGTTAAAAGCGAGGCTCGGAAGGAGTTCTAGAACTCCTTAACACATCTACAGTGTAACTTTTAAAACAAAATCTTCCAGTGGTGACTACCCACACCTCCACTTCAGCTACCATTGTGGAAATATTGATTTCCTGAGATGCGGAGGCCAGTAACCATTTGTTTTAAATACAATCACTGAGATTTCTGAAGGGCTTTCGTTTTGTAAATATTTCAACTCAGCTCAAGTATCTTCCCGCCCCGGTGCACAGAAGTAAGTGCCCCGCTTTGGGTAAGTTTCCGAGGCTGCAGGTATGATAGTGCCTCCCGCCCCGCGTGGCTGCGGAAGCAAACAATCGACCCTGGATCGTTCAGCACCGCAATCAACAAGTGCATGGCAGCGCGCGGGGTGTGCGGCTCAGGTAGCCTGGGCCAGCTCCCGGTAGGCGTTCCCAGAAGACAAACCTTTTCCTCCACTTGAGACTGTTTCGCATTTGAGAGCATTGGGAGTCGTAGCTTCGATCTCCAGTCGTCTAAAAGAAATCATTTCAGGTCATGCTTGCCTCCCTGGAGCCTTACTCAGTCCCAGGTCTGCAAACTCAACTACAAGACTAAAGAGTTGGTCTCCCTCCCAACCCGCGCCTTAAATTTCGGGCCCGCAAAATTATCAGGACTCCAGCATGTTGGTTATAAAATTTATTGATCTCTCATTTAGGAATTAAGAGTAAAATCTTGAAAAAAACCTGGAACAAAATAACCCCCTCCCCACCACCCAAACGAAAGAACACATTAGCATGACGAAATAGCAAACAGATCACTGCAAGAAATCACATACTCAGCCTAAATGCGCACTGGACAGAAGCTGTCCCGCGGCCAGGGGCGGCGAGGCGGGAAACACACGCACACCTGGCTATAAATTAACATTGGCTTTAGCTGTCGCGACAGTTAGCACGGCCAGCCCCCCCCCCCAAAAAAAAAACAGAGGGAAACAGAAGCAATACGACCGGGGGTGGAGGCATTGCAGTTTTTGGGTCAACCTCACTCACTCCTCGATTAATAGCAAACTAACAAGACAACATTTTCAAATGCAACAGAAGAACCTAGGAACCCGGGAAGAGGAGAAAGGGGCTGCATTTTCTTCGCAAGCATCTTAGCGATTTCCCAGCCTACAGAGGGGGAGGGAGGGGCAGCGGTCAGAAGCCGGTGGCTCTAGAAAGTCCCATTTCCGCCGCTCCTGACTTCTTTTTGCTTTTGTACAAAACCCGACAGCTACAGCAAAACTTTCGGTTCTCCTCATCTTCGGTACAAGGCAACAGTCCCAGGCAAGCAAAGCTAAACAACAAGGCGTCCCAACGTGGGGGTGTGGGGCGGGGTGGGGGCGAAGAGCTGGGAGCGCAGGCGGGAGCTCAGATGTGGGTCAGCGGCACCGTTCCATTGACTGCAGTCCCGGCGCCCTGGTAGTGCTGGTGCACGCCATGCAGTCGACCGCCCGGGAGCGGAGAGGCGGCGTCAGCCGCATCCCCGCCAGGTGGCAGGTACATGCTGATCATGTCGCGCAGGTCGCCAAGGCACGCGCGCTGCGAGTGCGAAGCGATGGCGGGCGGCGGAGAGCTGGGCTCCGATTTGACCACGGAGCCCATGGGGCCCAGGCTCATGGCGGCAGCCGCAGCGGCCGCGGCGGCGGCGGTGGCGGGCTGTTGCCCGTAGGCGGCGGCCGCGGCGGCGGCGGCCGAGGGCGCCATGCCCCCGTAGCCCGAGGCGGCGGCGGCGGCGGCCGCGGCGTTCATGTAGCTCTGGGCGCCGGGTGGCATCATGGGGCTGTACTGCAGGCCAGCCATGTCGTAGCGGTGCATCTGCGGGAGCGCGGGCGGCGGCGGCGGGCTGCTCATGCTCGGGGGCTGCGCGTAGCCCAGCTGCTCCTGCACCAGCGAGTAGGCGCCGTTGGCCCAGCCGTTCACGTGCGTGTACGTGTCCAGGCGCTGGCCCACGCCCACCGGGCTGCTGGCGGCCGCGGCGGCGGCGGCGGCGGCCGCGGCGGCGGCGGCGCCCGGGGGCAGGAGGCCGCCGGGCAGCGAGTACTTGTCCTTCTTGAGCAGCGTCTTGGTCTTGCGGCGCGGCCGGTACTTGTAGTCCGGGTACTCCTTCATGTGCACGGCGCGCAGCCGCTTGGCCTCGTCGATGAACGGTCGCTTCTCGGCGTCGGTCAGCAGTTTCCAGTCGGCGCCCAAGCGCTTGCTGATTTCGGAGTTGTGCATCTTGGGGTTCTCCAGGGCCATCTTGCGCCGCTGCCCGCGGGACCAGACCATGAAAGCGTTCATGGGCCGCTTTACCCGATCCTGGTCGCTGCCCCCGCCGCCGCCGCCGCCGCTGTTCGCGCCACCGCTGCCTGCGTTCGCGCCGCTGGCTGGGTTCGCGCTACTCTTGCCTGCACCGCCCGGGGCTGCGGGGCCGCCGCTGCCCGCTGCCGGGGTGGGTGGCCCTACGGGGTTCTTGAGTTCAGTCTCCAGCAGGCTGTACATTGCCGGGGCGGGAAGAAGGTGCGCCAGCGTGGCGGGAGGAGAAGGCGCTCCCGGGGCTGGAGCGGCCACGGTGAAAAGGCCAGGGGACTCCGTGGGAGTGGCGCTTGGGGGCCGGGGGGCCGGCGGCTCGGGCGGGAAGGGCAGGCTTGCGGAAGTGCTCCGCGCGAAGTCGGCGGGAACGCGCGGGCTTCTCTCACCTGATGCGTTCTCTCGAGCTGGTCGCATTCGCAGCCTGCGGGAGAGGTCCGCCCGGCCTCTTTATATACCTGCTCAGATCCGGGAGGGTTGGGGCTCGGTCCGCCCCTCACCACCCGGAGGCCCCGTGATTGACAGGCTCGCCGTGATGAGCCCTGGCCAATCAACACCGAGCCCCCTAGGGCCTAGCTTGGAGAGAAAAAAAGTTCGGGGAGCCCTTTAGTTCACCCTCCTTACCCCTCTCGGGTCGAGTGACGTGATGAGAGTTATTCAGGAGGCGGGAGTCCCTGAGACCCGCTCCGAGACCACCAATTAGGGTCTCAAAAAGTTTGAAAGAACGAAACCCGAGGAGGTGAGGGGAGGAGGGGGAAGAAGGCGCGCGAACAGAAGTGGGGGGGGGGGAGGGGCAGAGGAGCGCCCACGGGGGTCGGAAAAGAACTTTGGAACCCTGACAAGACTGACCAGCGCCCCATCCCAGGGCCAGCCTGAAAAGCTTCCCGCTGTCTGCACCGGGGACCTCCAACCGCTGCGGTTGCCCGCGCTGAAGCCACTGGGGACCGCCAGCAGCCCTGGCATGCTCGGGACATGGAAAGCATAACGGAGGTGCGCTAGGCTGAGCCTCTGAGAAGCCCTCCTTGGAATGAATTGGTTGCTGGCTGCCCGAACCCTCCACCCCGAGGGCCAGTGCTTCCGTGACAAGAGCGACAGTCAGGGACTGGGCGGGGGACTGAGAGCGCACCTGGCAGTGAGGCTCTCCGGGGGGGTTTGCAAATGCCAGTGGTGAGTGGCCCTCTGCCTGGGCCCCGGGGGGAGGCGCTCGCACGCGGTGGCGTGGGGGGGGGACAGAAAGGGCGAACGGGCCTCCACCTTCTCGCTCCAGGCCCCCGCTTAGAGGCCCCTTTTTGTCTCTGCTGTCTGGCCATTTCGGGTTTTCCAGTCCGATGCTCCTGAGGGGGAGGGTCGGGCCCCTTGGAAAATCCGTTTTCATGGCAACACGGAGCCTCTCGGAGTAAAAGAAAAGTTGGGGGGGTGCGGTGGCCGGAGCTGAGCGAGGCCTTGCTCCGGGTGGACCGCCGGGCCCCCTCCTCTGGCCGCGCACCTGCCACGACCGCTGTGAGCGGCTCTCGGCGCGCAACCGCGCCTCCTCCCCTGAGCAGGCTGGGCTAACACACTTCGCTTCTCCTTGTTTTACAGCCTTTCTGACCGAAGCCCGGAGAAACAGAGCGGGACCTCCAAGCACTTTGTGGGGTTATCTGCCAAGGACTAGCGGCTAGAGAAATCCCAGCGGCCGGGAGAGGGAACCTGGACATTCTCTGCCGCCAACTCAAGCAAGTGGCATGGTGTTCGAAACTATCGGAGCCGCCTGAGGGTGGGAATGGGAAACCATCTGGGCAGATGTGGCAGGAAATAAGGTGTCGGCGCAGCATTGGATTCCCTCCCTTTCCTTTAGCTTGGTGGAAAGGTGGGGGGACCTAATGGAAAAACATAAGACTTAAGTACGTGTTTGTAGGTGTGTGCCTTGGGGTGGGTGGGAGTGTTCCAGGCTTCTAGTTTTTCAGCGATAGTGCAAAATGAGGTGATTTGGGATGCCTGCACGCCTGGCTTGTCTCTTTTTCTCTGGCACTAATTAAAAAGCCGCCGACGCTTGCAAGGCGCACACCAAATTCAGCCCTTTGGTGGCCAGACGGACCGCTGGCACCAGGACCTCGCTTTCCAGCCGGTATCCCCTCCAGGGAGTTTGTGGTCTTGATGCCTTCCTTTTAAATCTGCATTCTGCCTGGCCTGAGTCATTTCCCTCCGAAGGTTGCCAGTCAATTAAATGGGTTTAAAGTCTCAGGAAAGATTCTGTGTGGAGATATATGTTAGTGTGTAATCCGTGCGCGCACGCGCACGGCTGTGCTGGAAAGCATGTCTCAGGAAACAGAATGATTCAGCAAACCCCACCTGCACTTGTTTTCTTGGTAAATTGGCTGACAGACTCAGATTTCCTTCGACACACCCACGGTCCCCTAAAAAGCCAATGTGTTCTGGCCCCTGGCCTCCCACCACCCTCTCCATGCTCCCTCTCGGTTTTTCTGGGCCCCGGAGGCTGTTGCTAAGTAAGAGCGAGCGGTTTAGGAAACTACCCAACCGACGCGCAGCCTGGCGTCCAGTAGCCTGACAGATGTCAGGATTCCTTCCAAGTTTTAGGACCCAAGTAAGCCGTTGTGGTGACAGCGCCTGGGCCGCATATTTCCCAAGACACAGGATGTGGGGCTGGTCCCCTGCTCCTTGTCATTTGATCACACCTTGTCCTGGTTTAAGTGAGCTCCTTTTCACATTACATCCTCCTGGCAGATTTACTGAAGGCTTTTGGGGTAGTTTCCTTCTAGCCCTCTCTTAGCTTCTCTGAGGTGGTTGGGATTAAACTGACCTCCTGGTGGCTCTCTGGGCTGGCTTGGATAGCGTCAAATAAGTGCTGCACCGAATTCCCTTCTAAGCACGTGGAAGCAAACTTTCTTATTACAAATTATTTCAACACACAAGCAAAGTTACTATTCTGGGCGTGGGGAGATTGGGGGCGGTGTCGGAAAGGAAACCATTTATCAAGACCCTCCCAACAATGAAGACCAAGACGCCAGTCAAGTTACCTTTATTCGGGGTCTGCACAAGTTGTCTGAGCAGGTATCGTAACCCTAGTGGCTCCAGTTCCCGCCGAGGCTTTCGGGATGGCAAGGTCTCTATACACTAGGCATCTGTTAACAACAACGAGCAAAACACAGAAGAAAAGAGCGCTCAGCAGCACTCTTAGCCTTAGGGGCCTCCGGGATTCGGTGGGCAACACGAAGAGCCCTGGATCCCAGACTAGGAACTGGGCCAAGCGCCTCCTAACCAACCCCCCACGCTCCCAGGAGCGTTAAAGCTCTCTCCGATTGGGGTCGAGCCAGGGGCTCCTAGGACCCATGGCGGGACAATAGCGCCGTTTGTTGGTTTCAGTTGGAAACGTCAACCAGAGGAGCCTCTTCTCGCCCTCAGAGTCTTCCAGGTGGCCCCAACCCTGGGAAGACAAGCTGCTGGCTTGATTTCGGGACAGAGCAGGACCTATCCTTAACGAGCTATTGTAAAACACCGGTTATCTGGATTCCAGCTGGCCTAGCCCGGCGAACTCCAGGTACATAGTTAGTTCAATCCCTATCTCCCTTCCTCCCATGGCTGCGGGACAAGTCTGACGTTAGAAGGGCGTCATATCTGGAAAGAGAGATTCTGGCGTCGTTTTTTAGAGCTACTTGGTAGAGCAGGGTAAGGGCTGTCCTGTGTTGACTCTTCAGTAACTACTCATGGCAGACATTTTCTAGGGGTTCTGGCCAGATTAGCACACAACCCTTTGGAAGGGCTGCCTTGTGCATTCTAGATAGGAAGGGTTAGATCTGTATAGGTGCCTGCTGGAATGTGGAAAGTTGGCAAAATTTGAACTTTCTCCAGGCTAGTTAAGGCCCGAGTGGTGCCATCCAAGGTAACTGACCCATAGTAGTCTAACATTTTCAAATGTGTAGCTGCCCAGGAACAAATACCGGTTTGAGGAAATGAAAACAATTTATCTTGGAAATCTTTTCCTGTAGACAAAAAGCCTTCCATTTTTAAAGTCAATCCTGTCTCCCTTCTTGAGAACATCCCGGGACCATTTATCTCGTCCATCCAAGGCTGTATTCAGGCTGCAGAGGGAGGGCCTTGATCAAGAAGCTTGGGTCTACTTTAGAACCATCCTTTGTGTTTTTGTTTTTAAAGGTCAGGAAGGTCACTCCAACTGGTGGAAGAGACATCACTTTTCAGTCCCTGGAGCATTGTGTGAGACCCTTCCTCTCCCACACACCACAGAGCAGAGTAGGAGTTGGGGGGGCTTCTCTGCCTTAAAGGTTAATCTGAAGATCCTATGTTGGTAGATACAGGCTTTAAACAGCCTAGTTGATGCTCTCTCTAAAGAAACACTTCTGGGAGCCTTGAAGCATGAGATGACATTGTTCTGGAGGTGTCAAATTGTATGGGGTGGCACATCTGTATTCTACTGCACTTTGGCCATAGATTTTTTTGGGGGGGTGGTGGGCACTTGTGAAGCAATTTTCCAAACTCAATCCATTGACTTCATTGAGTGACACTTGATAGAGATACTGGAGTCCCTTTGGCCCCCATGCACCTCAGGGCTCTCAGTTGTAAACATGACTCTCACCAACACTGGTGATAAGGTATTAATCACCCACTCTCCTTTTCCTACTTGCGATCATGCGCAGCAACTCTGAGGAATTTGGCATATTTTGCCTTCAGTTGCCCTGGTGTTGACCTCCCAACCAGGGCATAATGCCTTCTCCCTAGAGGGAGGAAGGCATTGCCCAAGAACTGGGTCCCCTTGCAGAGGGTTGTCTCCTCACTCCTGCCGGCTCCCACAACTGCACATGCTCCTGCACTTCAGACCACCAAATGCACACACACCCCTGCGGAGCAACCTCCCAAAAGCTGGCTGTGCATGGCGGGAAGGGGTCAACTCTCTTCGGGTCTGCAAAGCATGGCCCTCGCTTTAGAAGAAGCGAGCTGATCAGTCTGACTATGGGACCGGAGGAGTGATCTTAAAATGTTATCTGCACAGATTTACAATTTCGCCGGGGTAGGAGTGGACATGAGTCCACTAGACTTGACTACCCTCGCCTGGAAAAACCAATGCAGCCTGGGCATCTCCAGAGCGTCTATGCAGGTTTATCCGCTCCTGCGGCGGGTGGTGTCTGTTAGCTTTGTGAGGGCTTGGGTAGCTTTCCAGGAAAAATAAATCTCAAGGCAACAACATCCAGCTGTTCCTTTACCCCCTTCTCATGTTTTCCTTCTCTCTTGTTACTGGACTTTTTCATTTTGTATAACAGAGAGCCATGGGATTCGATTCACAGAATTCTATTCTCACAGTCTTTTTGGCCCGGCATTTCCTTTGGTCACTTTAAACTTCGGTGCTACACTCACTCTGTGCTAAGTTCTGTGTCCAGAACGGAGCAGCGAGGCCTTGCCCTTTTCACTTTGCATTGCAGAGTGGAAGCGGTCTGGAAGAGGACTTGAGACTGAGTGAATGAAAATTCACTTACCGCTCTTCCCAGACTCCTAGCAGATCCACAGAGAAATCGGCTCGGTGGGCAGAGGAAGGTCCTCCGCAAAGATCTGGCCTGACTGGAACTGGTACGCCCCGGACCCGCAGTTACCATGCCTGTTCCTGTGGGCTCGCGCTTTCCCACCGCGGCTTTTCCCGCTGTGGGAGAGCAGGAGCCCAACAAGCTTTCGCGCACTTCAGCGCCGCTATCTCAGGGAGCGGCTTGCGCAGCTCCCGGGGCGCGGCTGTGGCGGGGAGCAGCTAGTGTACGGCCCATCCGGGAGGTCGACTTGCTTCCCAGGAGACTAGGGGCCAGATCTCACGACAAAGCCCGTTCTGTTGGGAGGTTTGTCCACACGGCCGTTTTGGTTTCTAGGCCGCTGCCACCCCAATTCCATTTCCTCGGAAAGCATCTACAGGTTAGGACCTCGAAGCTTTGCTAATGTGATGTTTGTGTAATTAACACCATCTCCCCTTCTTTCTGAATATATTTCCTCCGCTTGCACAACCTAGCTTTCATTTGAAAATGCATCGCGAAGAATGTCCCAAGATACCCTTTCTAATGGGAAAAAAAACTCCTTTTGTGAAATGGCTTCTTTCAACAACCAACCTTATTTTCTAGTTCCAATGACTATCCTTTTATGAGTTATATTATTAAAGAAATCCGACACTAATTGTGCCGATTTAACTTGTTAATTAGTGCAAATAAACTATTCATTAGTGGTAAAATAAAATAAAACCCATGTGCCTAGATATCATTCCACATTCGCATATTGTAGTGTCTGCATAGCATAGGCATACTAAATTAAGTTCCTAAAAGGTTCCTCCTGAGGATAAATAATTAAAATATATTCTACTTTAATTGACATTATAGAGGACATAAATGAACTTTTCCTTTTAGAAAGAAATAGCCATTTCTAAATAAAGCTTGCAGTCTGGAGAATGGAGGCTTCAGCCAAATGAATAGTCATTACTACCTTTTCAACGACGTGGGCCTTTTGATCAGAAAAGAAATTAGCTCTAAAAAACAGACAATGGAAGCCTGCCCTGCAATAGGAAGAAAATTAGACGGCCAAGGCTCTTCACAACACCTATTTCTATAAACCATAGAGCTCCTTGCTTTTCAATTACAGCTGTTCATTTCATATAAGGAAAGGGGAAAAACAGGCCTCTAATGTAAACTCGCTTTCACCAGAAAGCCTTGCTGTTGGCTCGTAGCCAGGCTGCCTACTTACTATTGTTTTTAGTCATCTCATCAATTAGCTAATACTATATATTTTAAATGACTCTGGGGGGTATTCTCCTTCTCTCTCCCTACTATCCCACCCAGACAAAACCCAAGCTAGACACCCATGAAAGGGCTACTATTCGGAGCAGAGATACTTCAATGTATAAAGTTTAGTGTTTTTTATTGTTTCTCAAAGAAAAAAAGCATATTGAAAACGCTGCTCCCCCTCTTCATTTCTTAGTTCATCGTTGAAAAGAGCCAGACGAGGTGGTGACAGGGGAGGGGCATAAGTGAGCAGCTTTCAGTATTGTTTGTAACTGTTCACAGAGCTCACTCCATCTCTACATAATTTTGTGGTGGCCTTTAGACCACAATTTGGTTTATACAGCTCTATGTTTTAAAATCTTGAAAAATTTTCTAGCCCTACTGCTTACATGTCATTAGATAAAATTTCATTTTCAAAATATTGCCTTCACCATTTTTTGTGCGAAATAATTCTCATTTAGT